AATCCGGAGTAAGCATGTCTCTGGCAGCCACAACATCCATTCGGTATACTTTCTTTCACGAATCAGCTGCTTCCTTGATCCTCTTCTTATAACTGTCATCATTATACACAAACTCTGATCTAGCTAGCCTGTATGTTACCGGGACAAACTGACGTGTCTCATACTGTCTAAGTGCTAACAACGGAGCATACCCAACTGCACCTCAAAGTCTGAGTAAGGTCATAGTATCAGAATCCCCACACCGAAAAAGAACGTCACCGAGGAATAACCAGGGGGTTCTCCAGGTAATATCCCAATCCTGAAGATATGTAAAAACTTTCATCCACTTTTCCTTTGAAGCATCTTCATGCCATTTTCTAGTGATGAATTCTCCCAAATGTGAATAGGTAGTACTGAATCGGCGATAGGCTACCCCATTAGTCTTCTAAAAGTGGCTGTGAATCTAGACTTGAAGGTGCTGAATACACCCAACGAACTTTCCTCCGCCAGTTCTTCTGCAATGGTTGAGGGATCGAAAGGTTTCAGCTAAGATGGCTGGTGCTGGGTTGACTCGCCTTGGACGTTATTCGAATAACTCTACCACGGCTGCGTCGATGCAGCCCAAAGTCTTCGAAAAGATAACCAGACCGTACAGACCTAGTGCAAAAAGGTATATAGTCTTCCATTCATTAGGGTGGTTCTTCATTAGTTGCCTTATGTGAATCCACTCGATTACTTCCCCGTTACCTTTGTGTCGAAGTCGATCAGTCACCCATTTTTCATCAACTCCTGCAATCTTAGCTAGTCCGTTCTTGAAAGGCTGACTCTTGATGTGTTTGATATTTGCCCTCTCTAGTCTGATGTTTTCGCAGTGCAGTAGGGTAGTATACTCTTCAATTGTGGGCACCATGTCCTCCCGGTTAAAGGTGAAACAACTATACCCCGGGTTCCAGAATTGAATTAATGCTCGGAGCAGGAGCTCATTAGTCTTGACATGGAGTAAGAGGGCAATATCACCATATAGTTGGCTGAACTTCTGCTTTTTGTCATTCCCCCAACTGTCCCAACTATTTCGTAGTTCTTGGACATCGTTTTGTTTCAGGCTGACAGATGCGTAACTAACAAGCTCTGACACATAATTTCCCTAAAGACTGTCTCCCTTCTCTTTCTGAGTCTTCTCAGACCATAGTCGTGCCTCAACGTTTTTAATCTCTTTTATTACAACACCTTTATCCATTAATTCGGATTTATTTTGTGTTTAACAAACGCTTTTTTAGGATCAATAGCCTCTTGTTATGATGCAAATGCTAGAAAATAAACACAAAGGCAAAAGGATTAGTAAAATAAAAATAAAAAAAAATGACGAAAGAAAGAAAACACAAAAAAGAAAATGGTTAGGGTAAAAATATCCTAGGTTTTGGAATGTAGTTTCGGGGTAGGCTCTAATTCTCCATGGTTTCCCGGTTTAGGTTCTAAAAACGGTACCCGAGTTCTTCTTGCCGGTGCCCCCTTGGGCTTGTCAGACCCTTAGTCCTAAACCCATCACAGGCTTGTGTGGACTAAGTTAAACTCGAGAGGACACATTCCCTTATCCCCGCACGGTGAATAAATTCACACGAAGACATAAGGTATATGAATCCTGAAGACTACTCGCTAGGCCTGCACGGTGAATAAATTCACACGAAGGCGTCACTTTCACCCCCACTTAAGACAAGGTTTGGAGCTCGGGTATAGAGCCTTAAATGAAAAAGATTTGAAGGTTGAAATCACGAGAAAACGATTAGTACAACTATTTACCCGAAAATATAATCAAAAGTAAGTAAAAAAGGATCGAAATATTACCTTAAAATTTAAACTTACCTTTTTCGTTAAAAAGACAACTGGAAATTACCTTAGCCTGACTCACTTACCTGTCCCCAGCGGAGTCGCCAAACTATCGTAACCGTCTTTCGGTTGGGCCCTGGAATTGGGCTTCGACTTGAAAAATGTGGATTGGAGTCGCCACCGACCATTTTAAAACGAATTTAGTTGGGTCGGACACCATCTTACCTGATCTGCGTTTTTACCAGAAATGTGTCGGGTTCGGGAGTCAGTTACGGTCAAGGAAGGATTAGCACCCTTGAACCGCCCTTTCGGTACCAATAATTTACCGGTTGTCTTAGTTACGAAAATTCAAAATTAAAATTAAAATTTAACAGACTCGATTCAAATTACTTACAATTAATTGATTTGAATACCCTTAAAAGATAAAAACATTTGACTCGTAGCGGAGTATAAAATCGAATTAGGATAGCAAGTGTGTAAACGTGAGAATAATAAATAAAACAATAAAAAATGGAAAATAACAAAACAGGTAAAAAATAATAATAATAATAAATAATAAAAATAAACAAAATGAATAAAATGTTAAAAAACAAAGACACGGATAAAGGGAAAAATTAATGGAGTAAAAAAATAAAAAAAAGATAAAAGAAATTAAAAATGAATAAAAATAATGTGTACATATAAAGTAGTATTTACTATAACAAGTAAAAATAATAAATATATAATACTAGGTAAAACAAATAAAAAATAAAGATATACATGATATTAAGAAAAAAATAATAAATAAATAAAAGGAAATAAAAATATAATATATATAAATAAATAAAAATAAAAATAGAATATTAAGAAAATATATATAAAAACGTATAAAATATAATATTAAGAAACAATATATACATAATAAATGTAGAAAAATTAATACATCTATATATATAATGATATAAGATATATATAATAAAAATAATATAATATAAATAAAAAAAGAGGAATATAGTAAATAAATAAATAAAATATAATTAAAAATATATATATAGGGGACGAAATTAATATAAAAGTAAAATTAAAGGGTAAATTTCAAGGTAAATTAAAGATTAAAATTGACTTAGGGGAAATATTAAATACTTAAAAAAATGAACATGCCTCAGGAGTAGATCTAGGTTCGAAACTTCGAAACCCCACCCCTTTTTGGTCATCGGCGCAACCCACGCTTTGGGTTATTCAAACCAAATCTCAAGAAAAATAACATGCACATACGAGAAATGAACGAATTAATGTAAAAAAAATATGTTACCTTTTATGTCCTTTTCGAATCGTTTACAATAGCTTTGCCTTTGTATTTTTCGTATTTTCCTCTGTATCTTGTTTGTAAATCCTCTTTTACAAATAGGGAGGATTACATATATTTATAGTGAAAAAAACTAACTATTTTTATAATCCTAGTAATAATAGAATCATAATGCAACTAGACTTCTTGCTCGGTTGTTGCACGTTTGTTGGTGTGGTTGTTGCTTTAAAAGATATAGAAGTGGAAGAGTCCTCTTAAGAGATGAACTCTTGCTAGTTCTATATTTTAAGAAAATGGGTGTCTACAATATAATCGATCTTAATAAGCCGAGCCTGCGCAGTGGGTTGCGCCTATTCAAGCCTTGTGTGCTAGGCCTGAAGTGCCGCCTCATTTGAGGATTCCTGGTATTCATCAACAGAAACAAGTGTTGGATCAAATGGCTCATAGATTGACTGAAGAAGCTGAGAAATTGGAACTCCCGTTCCAGTTCAATCCGGTTGTTAGCAAATTAGAGAATATCGACGTCGAAAAATTGCTAGTTAAAACCGGGGAGGCTCTTGCAATCAGCTCTGTTCTCCAGCTGCATTCGTTTTTTGCCTCCAACGATGAAGTCCGTCGAAAGAAATCACCATTAGGATAGAAGAATTCGAATGGAGTTCACCAGCAAAGAGCACTCCAGATGAACCAGGGCACATTAGGAGAGTTTCCTGAAAAAGACACAGTTAATGGATATAGTCCTAGTCCCGATTCGGCTTCACTGGCACCAGCACCGGCACCACTATCTTTGACCGGTTCGGTGAAGGTAGATAGCTTCCTTAATGCATTGTCGGGTTTGTCATCGGAACTGATGGTGGTAATAGAACAAGATTCTAATCATAATGGATTGACTCTAATGGAGAGACTACTAGAATCTCTTTACTCTTATGCAGCATTGTTTGATTGTTCGGAGTCCTCGGTCTCGAGAACATCTATGGAGAGACTCGAGGTGGAAAAGATGCTCTTCGGAGAGGAAATAAAGAACATAATAGCTTGTGAGGGAGCCGAAAGGAAGGAGAGACACGAAAAGCTCAAGAAGTGGATACAAAGGCTCAATTTGGCCGTTTCGTAAACGTCCCTCTGAGTTACTGCGCGATGTTGCACGCAAGGAGATTGCTGCAGGGGTACAACTGTGATACCCAAAATATAGGAGGAGAACAGCTGCGTCGGAATTTGCTGGCAAGTTCGACGGTTGTTTTCGGTATCGGCTTGGAGGTGCAGGAAGTAAAGTACGGTAAATAAAAAGTAGTTTCAATCCCTGAAATGTAATGGTTAAAGCTTTTTAACTTTGGAATGCAATGTTCAGTTGTTTATTTAGCTATCTCTGCATTTCTAAAATGAAAAAAGAGTAATGAGGTATGTGATCTTACGGATTTAAACCAACACATGATTCCGTGTTATATTATTTCTACGCAACTTATACGCTGTTGTAAACTGGCTTCTTTTAGCATCAAGCATTCTTTGTCAATGACATGAGTTGTTCGCTCAAGTGTTTCATTCATAATTTGAAACTACATATTGATACATCTAATTAATATTAAAATCTAGAAGATTATAAGATCAAATGTATTTAACTGTAATTATATGTTAAGCTAAATGTATAAATATTATTATATTGGTCTCATTGCACAAAGGCATATATGGAGCGCCGACAACAAATCAATAATTTTTTTTATTAATCTGAAATAAGTATGAAGAAGTATCTGTTTAAAGATAACTCTCAATCATTTGACAATGAACACTTACTCCTAAAATTCCTAGTGCTCGAACCACCGAGATTGTTTAGTTCGTATAATAAATTAATAATCAACACATAGAAGACGGAGAACAACATTTACCCTAAACCCTAAAATTAATTTGAAAGAAGTATTGAATGGTAAATGCGTAGAATAATCAATTTAGTTACTGACATGCAAAAACTTGTCAATAGGCTTAGTCGGTAATAATTCGATAACTATTTGTTATCACCAATGTTATACATATTTACTTCACGTCTGATTCAAAGACCAAAGAGAGAAAGAGGGAGAAAGCTTGCCAGTTAGCAATGCAATTTGATTACACAAGTTAATCTCTCGAAGAAAATGGGGCACATATTTGTGTTGAACACAATGACATCCCTCATCCACTCTGGCGCCACCCTCTCAAATGTCCCCAACGACGATACCCGGTACACCAACTCGGCTTCCTCCCCGCCTCTTTTGTCTACCCACGTTAGGCTGAATGAGTAACCTGTTTCATTTATCCAGAGTCAAATGATCAGTCATTTCTTGTACGCAGCAGCTAGTTCTTGAATAGGTGTGACTATCGTAAACACCAACTACTTATGGATGTATTTATTAAAATCTATATTACTTCATGTATGCTTAATTTCTTTTTCATGCTTTTTATCTGACTATAGTCCCTATCCATGTCCAAATAGATGTCGAAGACAAATGTCAAAAATCAATACTTCACAGAAAACATAAAAAAAATCGGATAAAAGGGTTGAAGGTTTGGACCTCATATTCTGTAAATCCAACCATTTTAAGTGAAACAGACTTTATCTCTGCCATTGCTTTATACCAAAGCGGTTTGCAGAAATAATCTTTAAATTTTTCTGATCTTAAATCACATTACAGATGTTACCGCTTAACAAATCAACATACCAACTTTACGGGGGGAAATACCTGGAACTAGAAATGAAAGATGGAAATACTCAAAATTTAATGAGATGACTACGATTCTCAAGTTAAGAATTACCGCTTGATTGATGCAGAGCTGAAATGCATAGTCCTTCAGTTTGGTTAGCGGTGGATATTTTCATACCCACTAAGCACTCAATAAGATCTTGAAGGAGACAAGTTCCACGATCAGTGGCATTTTCACTTATACTGCCTTTACAGCATTCTGGCTGCATAATCATCCAAACAGTCAGTAAAGATATAGAAACATCTTTTGAGTAAACAGATGATTAATTGAGAATATACCAGCTGAACATGTGAAAGATTCGCGTAGGACAAAGCTTTCTCAGGAATGTCTTCTGTCAAAGCACATGATGTGGTAATTTTACCATTAGCCGAATCAGGAGTAACAATGCTGTCTTCGGCCGCAGCAGCTGATTCCCTGCTACACTTTCTTGTATTCATTCTAGTGGTGTTACCAGAAATCCTCTCTGCCACAAATTGTGCACTTCTAGGAGAGACGGTTGGTATATTATCTCTATTGCCACCCTTAAAATGTCCCTCTTGAAGATTTTGCAGCCTCGTAACTTCTTCAGAAAGTGCTTTATCTGTCATAAATTTTAGCATTCGGTTAGAAAAGAGCTATACAAATGCTTGACACTAGAAAATTAAAACATCCAACAAAGGCAAGTCTACACATTTATCTTATTATGTTTCCAAAGACACCGTGTAAAAATTAAGATAATCCACTTTCAACTTCATATATATATCTAGTTAGTGATTGAGGTGTTCAAACAATAATTGACTTCGTATAAATGTCAAAATGGAAGATGTGGAGTGTAGAAAATTGTGAATATGCAATCAAATCACCAGCACGATAACCATCATAGATGTCAAAATTATGATTTAACCTTTTAAAGTTATAGCAAGGAAGAAGGGAAAAACGAGAGATCTATTAACATTGCTGAGAGAAGTAATATATAGCAATACTGAAAACAAATCAACAAGCACAGTTACCTCCTCCTTCCAGTCCATCTAATAATGAACTAAACAGTTTTTGTCCCGTGCATTTTGGACAAGTGCAAGCCTCAACAATACAAGAACCAACAACCAACTTCAAAGGCAATGACAGATGTAAAACCTAAATTCATTTTTTACTCAGACAAAAACCTGAGCATAGAAAGAGATGCAATCAACAACTGATTACTACTTACACTTCTGGCTGTCTTCAATCAAAAGCTTTTGGTAGTCTGCACAATGTGCACATTGCTTGTCCTTGCTAGACCTGCATTATTACATTTGTGTAAAAGTTCAAGAAAGTAGACTCTGGCATGCTATCGTGCAAAGGCCAAAGTGAATTAAAAATACTTACATTACAGAGGCCACTTCACTTCTCAACTCATTAACTTCAGCATTTAATTTGTCATTTTCATTCTTCAAGTGCTGTATCAACTCCTCTGCAGCTGTAACAAGAGAAAGCAAACAATTAAGCATTTTAGAAGGGTCCTAAACGATTTTTCAAGTTTGTTTAACTAGCAAATATAGCAAGTAGAAAAATTGTCAAGATAGCGAGATAGAACTTCCGTTAATGTTTGGTTCACTTAATCAGTAGAAGTTCAACAAGAATTTATAGAACCAAATGCAAGCCATTAGCAAAGTTTGGTTCGTTCTACAGCCTCACATTCATGGTTATAACTTAAAACAATAAATTTATTGCGTTAACACACAACTACTAGAATGTCACATATTCGTTACGTCTAGAGCTTAGGCCTTAAATGATGGTTCAAGTATCTGAGCACGGTTATGTAGAAATCTATAGTATCTAGTTTCTACCATTACCAACCAAACGAATTTTAAAATGCTATAGCCACAACCATACCTTCCACAAAACGCAAAAGCATCCTGCTTCCATTTTAAAGCTTTTCATAATGACAAACTATCAGTCATGAGATCAGCCCAACCATTAAGCATTCAACCTCAAGATAAAATGATTTTGAATTATAAAACACATTATTTTACCTTACATTTCATAAGGAAGGTCCAAAATAATAACGTATCTTTTATGTAAAAGCCAAAATCAAGTGATAGTTATATTTTGTTATATTTCTATGATATATGCAAAATAAACACAAAAGAGGAAACAAAAACAAAGAGCTGACTTTGAGATTCTCATAAAATATGAAGACAGATAAAAAAAAACCAGTAACACTAGAGTGGTGATATACTGACCACGCACATAATTCAAGAATTTCTCTTCTTGAGCTCTATGTATGTCATCCATTTCAGACAGTTTTCTCTTCTGAAAAAGGAATGGAAATAAAAATCATAATAACGGTGTAGACATAAAGCTACATTTCCTTCTCAACGGGTGGAAAGGGGGGGGGGGGACCGAAAATTCCATTTTAACCAAACAAACAAGAAATCGTATACACCTTGCAGCTGAATTTTATTCCACTTTAACGGGGAAAAAGGGGAAAAACATTTTGCTCTTTTCTTCAGTTTTGTTGGCAACCAAACTTATAAAGATATAAATTGCATGACAGATCTAAAAAGGAAGAGTGGGGAAGTGAAAATCTAAAATTATCATTAAAAATAAAATTTTAGGGGGGAAAGAGGAGTTGCGATACCTTGAGTTTGTCATACTTATCGTAAAGTTTTGCATATAAAGACTCCATCTGCAAAACAAATGGATTAACTAAAATCTGTGATTTTGGAATCAGAACTCAAGTGCCTAAAGAAACCCTTGTTTTCTGTTCAAGATCGATATATACATGAATCGAATCGGTAAAAGGCGGAAACAAAATTAAGCGTTGTAAAAAGGAAAAGATATGTACTCTTCCTCTTCGTCGCGTTTTCTAAGCAAACAATCAGAAATTAACGAGAAGTCTGAAAAAACAAAAGGCGATGATAGTGTTATGAAAATTTTAATTAAGATTTAGAAAATGAGAAAGAATTGTTTACTTTTAACCTATTGTTTGGTAGCCTGGGAAATGCGGGAAAATGGAATTTCAAAAAATCCAGGAAACTAAGCTCTCTCTTGGTCCGGTGGTCGGCCACTGCACTATACTTGCTGCAGAGCGTAAAAGTGAAAGCAATGGAAGAATTTTCAAATTTATGATCAAAATGAAATTAATCTATTTTTGGAATAATTATAAATTAAATTTTTAACATTTACACATTTTTATTAATTAATTCTATTTTTTATCAGTTTATCAAATTCAATTTCTCTCCCATTCTGATACATCAATTTATCCAAAATAATAATAATAATACCTCAATTATTATTGGGTAAACTACATGTTTAATATCTAAAATATCAATTTTATTTTATTTAAATACTTAAATTTTTATTTATTTTAAAATTATACTTAATGTTTACTTTTTTTCATTTTAATACACTGCCACTAAAAATGGCACTACATTTTTACCTTTTGGTGACATGGCCGAGCGGTAAGGCGAGGACTGCAAATCCCTTATTCCCCAATTTAAATTCGAGTGTTGCCTAATCAATAAAAAATTCAAAATCCTAACATCTCCTATTGTCCAGGATTCAAGGAAAAACTAAAGTAGTGGGAGGAAATCAATAAATCTTGATATGAGAGACTATCTGAGGGGTTACTAGGGGAATCCTGAATTAGATTGGATAATGAGAGTGTCTAATTAACTAATGAATGGTTGCATTGTAGAAGGGTTGGAAGATACTTTGTAGACATATTGATGAAAGTCTAGTGTTCAGGCATCCAATTAATATTAGATTCATGTATGATTGACTTTTACTTGATGAGATTAAAAAAATAAGACCCCAGTCATAATGGAAGGAATGGATCTATCTCCTACTGTCTCTTCAAGTGGGAGTGATGGCGAGTAGATCCAAGAAGCCATAAGCCGTTTTGCTCTTTTGCTTGCTTTCATGTACACGGGTACCTCTCCTCCTCGCTATAGGGACCACCAGTAGCAAAGGTGGGATGTTGAATTCATACACATCCCTCTTCATAATTTAGGTATTGATTGAATTATAAATGATTCAAACCTATAGGCGCCCACCCCCGGCTCTTTTTTTTAAAAAAAAAGGAAATGAAGCTTGATCCTTTATTTCTAAATAATATTTTTCATAATTAAAAATAATATATAATACTTTAAATCTTTCAATATTATTTAATTTAAATATTATTTAAATAATAATATATAAATAATATGTATAATAAGAATATTATAATAATAAAATATATAATATTATTCTTAATAATATTATATATCTTAATAATACTATATAGAAATATAGATTTATATAAATTATATTATTCATCACTCAATTATCTTCTAACCCTTATTTTTGTCACTAAAGTTTAAAAACTTTTAATTTAACTACTCAACTTTCAAATTGTTTCTGCTTTAATCACACTAATTTATTTTATTAAGAATTTTTGTGACATTATAATTTTATTAATATTTTATTAATATATAATAAAATTATAAAAAAGTAAATTTAAAAGCTAGAGTGATTAAACTAGGAGTAATTTAAAAGTTAAGTAATTAAATTAAAAAAAGTAAACTTCAATGACCAAAAAAGATAATTGAGTGATGAATTATGCAATTCACCCATAAAAAGGTATCACATACAACAATTTCGTTAAATTTTTAACGACGAGGTACCAAAACGAAACAAAAAATAAATGCTAGGCATGATTTTGAAACAAATGAAAATTTAGGCACTAAAACAAAACAAACTCGTAGTTTAGGTACTGATGTGTAGTTTACACATTATTATTTTATATCTTTAATCTAATTTTTGTAACAATATTAACCAAAAAAAATGAATTTGTGATACCTTAAAACGTATCACGAACTTTACTAATAATAATAATTTAAACATTAAAGTAAAAATAAATAAATATAATTCGAAAGTAAAATAGAGCCATTTCAAATTTAAAAATGTTAAATTATTTTTATTTTTAAAATGTGTAGTTTTGAAATAAGTTATCCTTTTATTTTTGTTGAAAATAAAACAATAAATGTGAATCAACTTATCTTAGTGGTTAAAAAATCGTTGTTATTCTTAGAGGTCATGGGTTCAACGACCAATGACTGCAATATGGCGAGCGATTGAGTGTTTGTTTTCAAATGGTTGAGAGTATTTAGAACAGATGTTACTTTGTAAAGGAAATGTTGTTATTCTTAAAGATCATGGTTCAAGGACCAGCGACGTCTTGAGCGTTCATTTTTTAATGATCGATAGTATTTAGAACAGATGCTACTTTATAATCACTAATTATATTATCATCACTAATTATATTATCATCACTAATTATATCACTATTTCGGGTTTAAATATTCAATTTTATGTATGATGTTTAGAGACTAAGAGAATGATAATTTATTGAAAATATCAATAATTTTTTATTCGATATTGTTGTTAGATAGTCGATAAGACTTAATAAAAGTTGAAATTAAGTCGAGACAAATTTTGTTTTGAGAATCAAAATCTTTTAATATTGTATTTCTCATTCATAATGTTTGAATTCATAATATTATTAAAAGGATATCAAATTTTTATCGCTTGATTTAATAAATGCAACACTGATATGAGACATATTATTAATATCTTTTTTAAAAATATTATTAGATCAATAAATGAGTTAAACAAAAAAACTGAACAAGAATTTAATTTATAAACCCATTACATAAATAAATAGTTTTTTTTCAAATGATTTTAGTTTATAATATATAGTTTCACCTTCACATGGTTCGTGAACAATTTTATATTTAGTTATTCTCAAAGATGTTAAGCACAAGGGGCTTCGAGGATTGAAGTTCGTTTCCTAAAAGGCAATATATATATATTATTAATTCATATCGCTCTTTTGTCTTGCTTTAATTTAATTCTGTTATAAATTTGTACGAATCAACTTACTTCAGCGGTTGAGAAAACGTTGTTGTTACTAAAGATCATGAGTTCGAATACCAATAACATTAGTAGAGTGATTAAGAGTTCATTATTAAATAGTTGAGAGTGTATAGAACATATATTAGTTTATAAACACATCGTCTTAATTAAAAAATTGTTGTTCCTAAAAGTATGAATAACTGTATACATCAATACAATATTGTATTTAAAATAGTTTTTTTTTATCATTCAGAATAATGCAATGGACTAATTAATAATACTTTTAAAATTTTATATAATATATAGGCCGAATAAATTAAAGAGTAATTTTAAATTAGAGTTTCAATTTTAGGAAGTCTAGAGTTTTGGGTTTGATATATAAAATTTAAATTTTATATATTTTAATTTCATGTGTTTCATTTAGGATTCAAGATAATTTATTTTTATTTGTTTCGAACGAATACAATATACTATATGTTAAGAATGTTTTTAATTATTGGTAACAACACATATACATCTTGTAAATGTAACCGTTCGAACCTGAAATATTTAAAAAGAACATCATTTTTATCACTAAAATCGTTTAATTAATTCAGATAATTATATTTCTCGTGAATTGACATGCTTAATATATAATCATTGTCAAGTCTCATAAGGATCATGGACAAATCTATTAAGGATTAGGGCTATTGTCCCTTCAAAATTTATTGATATAATAATATTTTAAATCCTTTTAAATTTATATATTAATCAAATTAAACTTTTATTTCTTTCAATTTTTAAATTTAAATAATATAAAATAATTTAACACTCTCAAATTTTAATTTTAATTCCGTCCCTAACAAGGACCTACTTGAAAGTCATTATATTATCACATAAAAGCACCCATAAATTCTTTATGGCAGCATTAAGTCACATCCCAGCAAAGCTCATTAAGGATCAGACACCCCCTCTTCGATAGTTATGTAGGCTTAATATACTATTAAAAAAATATATTATTAAAAATATTATTATTTTTTTAACATTTTTGATAAAATACTGTCTAAAATATTATTTTTATTCCAAATGTTAATTTTACTATTTAAAATCGGTAGAAAAAATAATATTTTACATAGCGCCCAATATTAATATTTCTAGTAAAAAATAAGGTTTTAAGTAACGTCCAATATTAATATTTCACTAGAAAAATAATATTTTAGATAGTGTTTTATCGAAAATATTAAAAAAAATAATATTTTCGGTAACACCTTTCCTTAGACATATATTAAGGTGCGGCACCCGAAACATCCCCTCATAGTTAGGAAAAGGACCATATTTGGACCACTTGGTTCACCAATTAAAGTTTTTTTTTTGGGAGTGCTCTAAATTAAAGATGATGAAAATAATTTTTCTTTTTTTATTTACTATTTTCTATTCATACTTTTTTTATTTCATTTTAATCATTTTTTAAATATAATAATTTCTTTTGGTTTATGAGCCGGTGTGAATAATATGAAAATATTTATTTTTCATACATAGCTTGTAATAATATTCTAAGTAAACAAAGCACCTAAGTGGACAATTTATTTTCCCTGGAATCCTATGTGGATAGTTAATCACTTAAAATTTTAAAAATAATAGTAATAATACGAACCAACTTACCGCAGTGACAAAAGGAATCGTTGTTGTTCTTAGAGGATACGAGTTCGAGTACCAGCGACTGTAGCAGGGTGATTGAACGTTCATTGTCAAATAATTGAGAGTATTTAGAATAAATATTACTTTATAATACCTTAACTTAATAAAAAAATAATAGTAATAATAAAGGTTAAAGTAATTTCTCAAAGGTTAATTTCAATTTTCAAGTCATTAACTACTCATATAGAATTATATAAGTAAAAAAGATAATTTGATAAAAAAATATTTAATTAAATTTTAAGATATTATGATTATCAATAAGATGATTGTAAACAATTTTTATTAATTATCTGAATTAGGTGTGTTGACTACTTAATTAATTCATTAATTAATAGGAATTTAGAACTTCAATGTTAATGCGAAAGATAGACAAGGGATCCACATGGCCTAGCTGTACAAATGTTTGTATTAATTCTAGGTATAATATGTTTGAGTTATATTGAAATTAATTTTCAATGAGTTGTCATGTTTCATTATTATATTATTATTGATGATGATTCTTATTCATCACCAACAATAATATTTACTTGTATCTTTATTTTTATTAAATTATTTTTTTAATTTTTGTGCATGATATTTTTTATTTATACAATGTTGTGTATTTTATTTTTAAAATACTATTTTTAATTCAACATAAATTATTGTGTAAAATAGATCATTCCACATTGAACTTTACTCTTTCTCCTATCTTACTTATTGTATTTTTAATTTTTATAATTTAATTACTGAACTTTCAAATTACTCATGTTTTGATCATTTGAATTATTTTATTATTATTTTTATATAACTTAGTATTTTTATTAATATTTGATATAAAATAATTTAAAATATAAAATAAAAATAGAAGGTGTCAGGACGCTATCGTTGGCCACCATCGATTGTCACATATGGTGGTTGTTCGATCCCAAATTTCATAAGTCGGTTCGTCTTGACCCTTGAGTCCGAGTTTGGTGATTGTTTAATCGAAAAATGTCTACAAACTTGTGAATCTCGACTGAAACATTTCGACTTTTTCACTTTCGATCTCTAATTCGTAGACTTCAAACAAGTTTCGATAAAAATGATCAAATTCAAACTCAAAATGTTGAAGCAAAGCAACCCTTGAAATTTGGGTTATTTTTAAGGAAAGTTAATAAAAAAAACCATTGATGGTATTATTAATTTGAACTAAATAATGAGATACTTAAACTAATATATAGGGACTAAATCATAAATTTAAAAAACAGTAGAAGAACCAAAACCAAAATTTGACTATTGTCCCACGTCTTACTCGAACATTGGGTCCTGAGTTAAAAAACAAAGAGTGAGTTTTAAGGCGAAGGCAAAGGTCCCACGTGGAAGCATGCGAGCGTGAAGGAGGTTTTGGTACTCTGCTCGGCCACATATGTTGCTGTGCTTTCATGATCTTTTTGGCTTTTGTATGCACTCGGTCATTGTTTAAAATTGATAAATTAAACTGATAAAGTACTTATTTTTTTAATTAATTAAAGGGTAAATTACACGTTTCTTCAATCTACTTTACTATCTCCTATTTTGCTCACCAAACTTTTAATTTTTCTAATTTTGCTCGCTAAACTTTACAGATTGAATCATTTTGCTCACTCCACCATTAACTTTTTAAAGGCGTTATGATGTGCCACATGAATCAAAATGATGTTTTGAAAAACTCAAATATACTCTAAAATAACATCGTTTTTTGAGTAAAATATGATATAGAGTAAAGTTTAATGACTCATGGTATAATTTACCATTTTTTCTTCTCTTCTCTATTTCTCAAAACTCATGATTTTGGGATGAAATATTTTGATATCCTCACTTTTAATCTCAAATTTATGGACTTCAGAGTAACTTCCAAAAAATAGAGGTTAGATTCGAACTCACAGCGTCGAGACGAAGCGATCCATCCCATTTTGGGACCAAACGACCACCATCTACAGCTGTCGACGATAGTCGACGATGACATCTAACCACCTTATATTTTTATTTTATTTTTTAATTATTTTATATTAACTGATAATAAAAAATCATCCATTAGGGAGAAAATAGAGGAGTGAGCAAAATGATTCAATTTGTAAAGTTCAGTGATCAAATTAAAAAATTAAAAGTTTAGTAAAAACAGGAGAGAGATTAAAGTAGAGGGAGGAACGATGTAATTTACCCTTAATTAAAAATTAAAGCTTCCATATTGGCCAGTTGCTGTGGGATTCTCGTTACGTCCCCGTGTATAGTAATACAATCATCATTATTCAAAGGCAATGAATTATTATCATTTCCATGGGGTATAACCGATTAAAAAAAAACAGTAACTCACAGAGCTTTTCTTTTTCGCTTTAATGTATTCTAAAGGGGCATTGAGTAGTAGTTTTTGCTCCGTTGTTTCCAAAACTTCGGAATTTTCTTGGTGAGTGTTTTCAGGGGCTTTTATTATTCATTTTGGGCTGTTGGGGTTTTGTTTTTTTGGAGGGGTTGACCTAAGCGGATTAATTTACTTTGGTGTCTGATTTGGAGATTCTCTTGTTTTTGGCAATGATTTGGTGGTTTTTCTCAATGGGGTATGTGGAATGAATCTGGTGATGGATTTGATGGATTTAAAGCAAGTTTTTTTCCTGAAATATTTAGTGGGTTTTCGTTGTTTTACATGTTGAAGAAGAAGCTATATTTGGGGTAATTCTCAAGGTCTGACCTTTTGAGAACGAGCTGGCTTAATCACTTGAGGTTGCTGTGTTTTTTTTTGGGTGTGAGGGTTAATGTAAAACTGGGTCTTCGTTTTAGATTTAGAAAGTGCCTTGCTTTGAGAAAATGGCTTGCATGAAACTTGGATCCAAAACTGATGCCTTTCAGAGGCAAGGGCAGGCTTGGTACGTAACTGGTCCCTGCAATTATATTACATCTCTATCTACTTCTGCCTACATTTGTTCTGTCATTGACTATTGTGAGATGATGTGTTGCTTTACTTTGTTTTGGTCTTGCTCTTTCATTTTAACTTTTAGTTTTTGTTAATTTTTTTGGACTTACTTTAATGTATCAATTTGGGTGCATATGGATCAAGAGACATACAAATATGCATGCTATGGTTGTGGATTTGAGCGACCAAACTAAGTTTAGGTTTCATATTCCTATGTCTGAAACTAAAGTTTTCATGCTACAATCACTTAATTGCTTAGTGATTCAGTCAGTTGCTCTTTAAACTCTGTGAGGTTAGTATTTGGTAAATAGACGTTGTTCCATTGCTCTTTGGTTTTGGATGAAGTTGAAGTAATGCACTTTATTAAAGCTTCAATTTACAGGAGAGGAGTAGCTTATCCATCATCAATCAACTCGAAACTTAAGAACAATTTATTTTGACTCTTTATAGTCTGAATCACCAATCTTTTGTTACCGATATACTGAATATAAGAATGATACGGTTCATGCTTAAGCACTTTAAGTTATGACTGAAGTTGTCATGTGGATTTGTGGTTAAACAATCAAAACAGAAGGGGGGATGCCCATCTGTTAGGAGACCTTGAACCTGTGCTGAACCTTTTGTTTATATATCTTATGCTTACTATTACCAGGTTAGACTGGTTTAACATTGTGTTTAGTTTAATAGTACTTAGGTTAAATAAGATAATCCATTTTCCCCACATTCCTTTTCAACAAATATGACAATTTTGATCAATATTGGAAGCTTGTTAACACTTAGCGCTGATGGAATCAAACAAAATGAGAATGTGGTAATGTTTCGTATCGTAGTGATTGCAAATGTGGAATCCCAGCATTTGGATGAGAAGGATGAGTCTTGAAAAGTGATGTGCATGCCCACTAAGATTGGGTTATTAATGTTTCATCCGTATAATAGATGGAACCATTTCATACTATTGTTTGTTTTTATTTACAATGATTTTTTGTATAATAAGATTACCTTTTAACATGGGGCCAAGCTTCTTTGGTTTTGATTCTAAGCACCCTGCATATCCCGAAGCATGTGAAAATCTTGTTATATTTCTCTGTGTTAAGCTTAATATGCATGTTATATTATAGGTTCTGTACAACTGGACTTCCTAGTGACATTGTTGTTGAAATTGGAGAAATGTCCTTTCATCTTCACAAGGTAATTTTCCCTTCATGTATATACTTCATTCTGATTGCTTTTCCCCTTTTACTTGTTAAACTTTTCTGAAATTATATGTTTATAAAGTCTTTCCACTCATTTTTATGGATTTTTGCAAAATAAAGATAGAAAATCCTTTCTTGTGCCCCGCACCATCTTTCTAAGACCTCATCTATTGAGTTGCAGTGTGTTGCTTTTCCAATTTCTCAAGTCTTTTCCTTTCAACAAAGAGCGGTAAAGTCCTTCGCATGAACTTGCATCCGGTGCGATGCATGGTGAATTGAAGTGTCTAATCAAATAACTATACATTTTAAGGTTCTTACTCTTCTTAACTATCATTTGGTGCAGTTCCCTTTACTCTCAAGAAGTGGTGTTATGGAAAGATTAATCGCAGAAGCATCTGACGAAGAAGAAAAGTGTTTTATATGCATCTCTGACATTCCCGGAGGGGCCAAAACTTTTGAACTTGTTGCGAAGTTCTGCTATGGAGTGAAACATGAACTCACTGCCTCAAATGTTGTGTACCTTCTATGTGCTGCTGATCATCTAGAAATGACTGAGGAATATGGGGAAGGCAATCTTATTGTACAGACTGAAACCTTTCTTAATCAAGTAGTCCTCCGGAATTGGAAAGATTCTCTAAGAGCACTTCAAACATGTGATGATATTATCTCTTATGCTGACAAACTGAATATTACTAAAAGGTGCATCGAATTGTTAGCCACAAAGGCATCTACTGACCCCAACTTATTCGGGTGGCCCATGATGGAACAAAGTGGTCCAATGCAGAGCCCTGGTGGAAGTGTGTTGTGGAATGGGATAAGTACTGGGGCCAAACCAAAAAATACAAGTTTGGATTGGTGGTATGAGGATGCATCAAGTTTAAGTTTACCTCTCTATAAGAGATTGATTTCAGCCATGGAGTCTTGTGGTATCAGAGAGGAGATAATTGCCGGCTCACTCACTTTTTATGCAAAAAAGTACCTACCTGGTTTGATCAGGCGTCAGGGTGCTAAGGATTCTAACTCGAGTGCCTCTCTTGCACCTGTGGCCTTGGGGGCTCCTCTATCTGAAGAAGATCAAAAAATTTTGCTGGAGGAGATTGATAGGTTGCTTCCTATTAAAAAAGGTCTTGTCTCAACCAAGTTTTTGTTTGGACTGCTTCGGACAGCCATGATTATTCGAGCAAGCCCCTCTTGTATATCTAACTTTGAGAAAAGGATTGGGTTGCAGCTTGATAAAGCAACTCTGGAAGACCTACTGATGCCTAATTTCTCTTATTCCATGGAAACACTTTACAACGTGGACTGCGTGCAGCGAATTCTTGAGCATTTTCTTGCCATGGACCAAATCATTGGTGGTGCCACTCCATGCTCGGCTGATGATGGCCAGATTATTGGCTCGCCGTCATTAACACCCATTACGATGGTAGCCAAGCTAATTGATGGGTACCTTGCGGAAGTTGCCCCTGATGTTAATTTGAAGCTCCCCAAGTTCCAGGCTCTTGCTGCATCAGTTCCTGAATATGCCCGGCCATTAGACGATGGTCTTTATCGTGCCATAGACATTTATCTCAAGGTACTATCCTTACTGCACATGATTGCTAGTTACATTGTTTTCTTCAGTTTTTTATACTGCAATATTACCAGAACTAGTTCACTAATCCAAGAACTCTGCAATTGTGCCCAAACGCTAGTCATATGTTTTAATATCTATCCAAGTTGAGCATAGAGTCCCTTTTAAGTTGTTTCTGTCATTGGTTCTTTTACTGGATACTTTTATTTGGCATTTTTAAAGTAAGTTGCTTCTCTCGTCTGCTCGAAACAAAGTTAGCCAGCCAGAAAGCTAAATCTTATATAAGTTGATTAGTAGGGAGCTTAAAATTGTCCTGTTCTTAAAATCAATAGTTTCATCTTAAAGAAGGGTACAAGAAAGAAAGCATGAAACGCTTGATTGCTACAATTATTTTTTGAACTTGTTTCACTTTCTCCTATGCTTATTAAACTTGCAGTCACACCCATGGTTGTTGGAATCCGAAAGAGAACAACTATGCCGGCTGATGGACTGCCAGAAGCTCTCCTTGGAAGCCTGTACCCATGCTGCACAAAACGAGAGACTGCCACTGAGAATAGTTGTCCAAGTCTTGTTCTTCGAGCAGGTTCAGCTTAGGACTTCAATTGCCGGTTGCTTTTTGGTTTCAGATAATATTGATGGATCACGACAGTTAAGAAACGGGTTTGCAGGTTCAACTGATGGAGGGTGGACCTCAACTGTGAGAGAAAATCAGGTTTTGAAGGTAGGCATGGATAATATGAGAATGCGGGTTTCCGAGCTTGAGAAAGAATGTTCAAACATGACGCAAGAAATAGAGAAGCTAGGTCGGGGGAAGGGCCCTTCAAGCACTTGGGGTACTGTATCGAAGAAATTCGGATTCAAGTTGAAGTCTCAAATGTGCAGTGCACAGGAGAATTCTATAAGCAACCAGAAGAATGGAAATGGAAAGATTGAGAAAGTGCAGGAAATGAAAGTTGAGCACAAAAAGTACTCGAGTAAAGATGACTAATACAATCAATCACAATGAAGTTTCTTGTATTCATCATTCTGATCCTTTTGGTAGTCATTGTTATTGTTGTTGTTTAGTTGTACTTCTAAACTTTGTTATAAACCAAGCTTCCCACCTTTGACCCCCTGTAACTGTGTACCATATCCCATTTTACTTTTCCTTTTAAAAAACACCCATTTGGTCTCCAGATTCTGAATTATGTGCCAGATGGAGATGATGGTGAAAGTGTAATTCAATTTGTTTCATTCATGTACTGTTTCCCTTTATACGCATGTATAATCTCAGATTATTAAACACCACTGAAATAAAGATGATCGTTATCACGGATAAATAACAGGCTTACATGTTTCAGTAAAATATTTTTAATAATTTAAAGGACATTAATAGATAGACTCTCTAATACCAGGGAATCGAAATAAAAGGTTATTCAAAACCCACTTATTTTTAATAAAAGACACCTTTCTATCAAAAATAAAAAATAAAAGACACCTAGATTCCTTGTATGAATTTTCCTTCCAAATTTTGACAATGCAGAAAAGCTAGCTAACAAGTGTTTCTAAGTGCTGCTTGAAGCTCCATCAATGGAACCGGCATCCCTATTCTCTATTGCTTTGGTGATGTAAGTTGCCTCAGGTTATATTTTGCCAGCTCCTTGTACTTCTCCACAACCCCAATCAAGCAGATTGTCTGAAACCGGAAAGAAAAATTACATAGTGAAATGTAGGCTGGATTAAGTGATATTGTAAAGAGCAAATTTGCCAAAAATGAGTTCTTATTCTAGCCAAGAAATATTGTACTCACCTTCACAATTTCAACTACAATAGTCGTGTCAGGATTGCTAAGATCAACTTTGTGTGGCGCAGGTACAGACTTCACAACCGAATTTATGATTTTCATCCTGTCAATAACAGAATTTGCACGCGCCTCGTATAGAACAGCAAACTGCAGTGAAAAACATATAATACATTTCAATCTGATGAAACCAAAAGGATGATGTAAATGTTTTGGTCATGTAGGGTCCTTGACAAGACAAGACAAAACAAAACAGGCAAGTATACTGAGATGATATTTATACTTCTTCCACTCTATAAATGCATTTTCATGATAAGAGGGAAAAAGATGTTAAAGTCCCCCAAGCCAACCCTCCTTTAAGGGGGCAGGTCCAAATCTAATATGAACAATATTTGACCACTCAAACATTAACATCACAGTAAATAAATCATCTAAATATAGGTCCGAGTTAGCTATCTTGCAAACTAAATGAAGGCATTCAAATATGTAGAAAGATTATTCTTTTATATATCGAAGTAAATCATGAATTGAATGTCTTGTCATGAACTGACTGCTTCCTTTATGGATAACTTGAGGGCTATCTTATATGGATCTGGCAACAAGCAAATGGTCCAAGAACACTGTAAAGGATCAAACACTGATTTAAAGCCATGGTTGTCAATCTTACAATTTCTAAGAACATTTCAATTTCCCGTCAAATCAATACTAGTGAAAATTCACTTGGCAGGCTACTACATGTATTTAAAAGGTTTGATAGGTTCAAATTGTCATTTGCCTAAGAAAAACCTCTCATTTCGGTGAACCACCTTGAGCTAAAATAGAAGTTGCGGCTTTAAATCGTGTAGCATGTGTACAAGTCATTTGGATTGTGTCAAATCTAAATTTGATTCATGTCTGAATGGTATCAACCAGAGACAAACAACAGAGATGCTTAAAGAACACTTAAAACACAATTTCTTTTTGTACAAATACAAAAATGTTTATAGAAAGCAAGTTAAATCCATGCACCTTTTCCATCCTATTGATTCTATCAACTTGATTTTAATATATGTCCTTGTATTTTATGAAAAAGCTAGCCCTTAGAAGCACTATAGCATATTTCATCACTTGAAAACCAAAACAAAAAGAATGGGATTCATCTATTTCATACCTTCCTATGATTCTGTGTCTCCACTGGAAAATACTGCTCGATGAGAGGCTTCATTGCTCTTGTAATTTCCTCTTCTGAAGAATAGCATGCTACTTCAATAGGTAAGACTCTTAAAATGAACCTACAAAGAAACAGTATGATTTTAGCTTGCTACTACCAATACAACATTTCTTATGTGCATGTGCTTCGTTTATGTAACATAACATGCAAGTGTATAAAGAACCTCGACATGTGCTTCCTTGTTGATGCAGCAGACGTCATCATACACTGTGCGATATCTTTGGGACCAGGAATTCCATCTCTCTTCCGCATTTGGACAAAGACAACACCATTACAGCCTGAATCAAGGTTGAAGAACAGCCTCTTCGAACAGTATGCAAAGGGGAAAAAAGGTTCAAGTAAAAAAATAATTGGAAAGAAAAAAAGAAAATGTAATAATGGTCAGCATCACCCATTGGTTTACAAGAGATGACAAAAAGTAATTGCATAAGAAAAACTTCACAAATTCAGCACTAAAACGGAAACTGAATATGGAAGGTGAAAGTAATAAACAAAAAGTTATGAATAATTATCTCTAAACAAATAAAAGAATCAGATGAACTATGTACAAGGTTGATAGACTAAATACAACGAGTTAGTGGGTCTTATTTTTTGTAGGCAAAGCTCAATGTAACAAAGAAAGAACAACCCCATTTGGGCTACTTCCATCTTGCATAAAGAAAATACGTGAAAGTTTCAATTAAGAATTTTCTGTTAAAGATACTATGTTAAATTCAAATAAAACTTCCAAGAAAAATATAGTATAAGCACTTTTAAATTTATTTCATTTTCTTTTTCAATAATCATATAATTGCCTTAATTCTTTCAATTCCATGCAAGACGCCAAAAACATAACTTATGGCCAAAAAGGTATTTCTCCTCTTTCTGGCATCCATTAATCTGCAAAATCAATTACAAACTTTAGCAGTCATATCTTAGTAACCTTACTCTTATCTCCAAGCTCATTGAGTTCATCTTCAATAAGCTTATCAATAGATTTATCTTCTCCACTGGTTGCACTCTTTGATTTATCTGTTTCAAGGCATTGTTTCTTTGCTGGTGGCTCCTCCGATTTACCTAGTTGATTTTCAATATTTGCCCCATCCATCTGAGCATTATTGGTCTCTTCTGCTATCTTTCCATGGCACACATCATCTGAATTCGGATGATCCAGATCTTTATTGGTTACACATTCTTGACTAGCTTCATTTTCTCTACTAGCATCTGATTCTGATTTAATAACTTCCTCTTGCCCTTCCTCCTCTCTTTCATCGCCATCACCCTCCTCTTCATCACTATATGAGAAAGTAATCTTTTTATTTAGAGGCTTATTTGGTAGCACTGCAGGTTCCTCTTCAAAATCCTTTCCATTGACTAGCTCTTCGAAAAACTGCAGGGAAATAAAATAAGCAGAAGTTAATGAATCATGAACACAGTAAAGATAAGGAAAAGATGCAGGCTTAAAGAGCAATGTCACAACTGTTATCACATATCAAGTCTATAATTTATAAATTAAAAGAAGTTAATGTGATTATAAGATTCAGCTTAACATTTTCTGTCAAAATCAAAGTTTTAGCTGATTTTAATTTGGCATAACCCACCCCTGCTAAAAAGAGAGCAATTATAAAACTAAACAATACACCGTTTGGAAGAAAGGGGGAAACAAAGAAATACCCAAATGGAAAATCATCAATTAATGACCCGAAATGAAGTTCAATAACAAAAACAGAAAAGGCTTCCACAATAAACTTCAAAAATAAGAAATATAGAAAGAACAGGAAAAAAAACATACAGAATCAATAACATTGATAGCTTCATGAGCAGCCTGTCGTTCTCTTCCACCGTCACAAGTGATAAAGAGACCTTGAATACCAGGCCTTAATGGGTATGCCCCTTTCTTTTTAACTGCTTTCTATTTTCCGAAAACAAAAATAATAATAAATTGAAGAAATACAAAAAAAAAACCTCGTGAAAATATAGGGTGAAAAACAAAAAGAGAGAGAGCTTGGGCTAACATTATAGGGAAGATACTGCTTCCTCTTCTTGCCTTTGGCTTTGTTTTCGGTAGCCATTGAAGCTTTTAAGTGTTTCCGTACTTCCGACTCGGGGTTTGATTATAGTTCTCAGTTTTGTTCAAATGAGATTTCTACTTTTAAAAGACCGGTTCGGAACGAGTCCAAAACCCGGCTTATATAAAAGAATGTTTAAGTAAAAAACAAGTATTTAAAATTGACTTTTTTATTAAAAGATTTATTTAAATTATATTTTTAAATGATGTTTTGTTTTAAATGAAAATTAAAAAATAATAAAATAATATTTATTAATAAAATAACATAGCAAATCTAAAATCTATTTACCTTTTTCCCCCACCATTTCTATTAATCTAAAACTCATTCTTCATTTTCTCCGTTAAATTAAAAAAAATAGTTTAAATATTTAATTTTTCATTTAAACAAAATAAAAATATTGTATTTGAAAAATAGATTCATAAACAATAATGCTTATTTAAAAATTAGGATAAAACATTTTTGAAGCAATTAACCTTTTTTATACTTATTATATTTGGTAAAAATTACATGTATATTATAAATTAATATATTAGATGTCAATATTCATATATTATTAAAATTAGATAAATTTATTCAATATTTTATTGTTTATTAAATTTTAAATTTTTTAATCATAAATATATAAGATATCACATACCATATATATATGACATGATTCGGTTACACTCTTTAATACTAATAAGTTTTACATTAATTTATAGCTATTGGATTTAAATAAATAAATGTCTTAGATTTAATTAAAATTTATAACTCGTAAATACATATATTTTAATTCACTGTAAAATAATATCTCTTTTTATCCAAACCTCAATCTTAAACTCTAAACCCTAAATCTCAAATCATAAATCTTAAACCCTTAAGCTTAAATCATATACCCTGGATCCTAAAGTTTAATTGTAAAAGAGAAAATATTATTTTACTGTGAGTTAAATAAATATTTATTTATGAGTTATAAATTTTAATTAAATTTAAACTATTTATTTATTTAAATCTAATGATTATAAACATGTATAAATTTTATTAGTTTTATACAGTGTAAGTGGATCTTAACCCTAAAAAAATACATACAAATATGAAAATCATCATCTATAATATTTTAGGTTAATTTATTCATATCACCATAAAAATTTAAATATTAAACTAATATTTATTTTCAATTAATTATCAAAATAACATTTTTCTAGTACCACATATGATAAAAACACATCACATTCCAATGCGTTATAAGCTTATATGGGATGGTGAAACAACTTTGTTTTGTAATTTGCTCAGGATATGTTTTAATTAATTAAAACTAATTAGTCACAGGCATGTAACTTCCTTCTTCTTTTTTTGTATACTAAGGTTTTAATCTTCTTTTGGCACAATATATAAACCCTTCGAATTTTCATATAGACTATAATATATGATTTTTAGGGACGAAATTAGGGGCCAATTATAAAAATTTTAGAAAGGGAGATTATATAAAATTATAAGAGTGAAAATACATTATCAATTAAAAATTCAAAAAAATATCTAAAATAAAGTCACATAATTGAATTTTGGCATTTGCAAATCGTGCAAATTATATTGGGAGGATTGTCCTCATCCAGGGATAGACCGAGGTTAGGGTGGAGGCAGTCGTCTCGCTAAAAATTAAAAATTATCATATATTTTAGATTTTTTCTATGTATTTTTTATTGAAAATTTATTTTCACCCGTGAAATTAGTTCGCCCCTCCTAAATTTAAATTCGCCTCCTAACATAAAATTTTACGTTCGTCCCTGTACTCGTCCCTATATTAAACCTTTGCTGTATGAGTTTCAAATTAGTTCATCAATAGATTTTAGAACGTGGTTGTAGAAATTAATTAAAGATGAAGGAGTAATATCATATAGATATAGCAAAATCATTGCCAACCGGTGTAGTTAAACAGAGAACGATACAGTGAAGAAATATTTATGGTCCCCTTGACAGTGCAATATATTCCTCTCTCAGACTGGTGTATTTCCGGCACAGTTCATTGAAAGCTTCTTTTTTTTCTCATCTGGTATTTCCTACTTCTTCTTCTCCTCCTCCAATAGAAGCTTTGCGATTTCGATTTGTTTATGGAGCTCTTGGATCTTCACTCGTTTCTCCTCGTACTGTTTCTGCAGTGTTTCCAACTCTGATATTGCTGCTTTGCCTAAAGCTTTTAACTTTTAATTAACTGTATAAACAGCTTTAATATAAGTTTAATTAACAAAAAAAAAATCTGAATTTGGTACCTGCTGGAGGGTTACAAGAGCTGCCACTGCTGCCTTCCATGAGTTTTTCCAGATTCCTGAAATAATAAAAAAAGTATATGACTGTAAATTCTTTTTACTGTTGTTGCTAGACACAGTGAATCTTATTAACTCAAACAGGTTATAAACTACTTCAAACCCACCATTGGACATCTTGTTTTAAGCTTGATGAATGAAACAAAAAAGATAAATAGAAAGCTCCTATGCCATGCTAGAAAACGCTAACCTTTTTCTGCTGTTGGTGGTCACACCTCACAGTGAAATGCAGTTGATGCAACAATGGAAGAACTTACCTATATGTTTGTGTGTTTAAAGCTTAATAGTGACAAAGGACGGGAGCCTATATGGAAAATGAGAAAAAAAAGGGCATATTTCCATTGATGGAAACAAAATCAAAGGCCGTAAGAATCTCTGGGGACAGAGATTTGCTAAGCCCCTGGTAGTGGAAGTCTCTTGTCTTTCTGCTGCTCACATGCACTTTTTCTCCGGTACTACATAACGGAAAGAATCAGAATATTTGGTTTCATGTGTTCCAAGCCATGGTGACGATGATGATATCATGGAAAAAGGAGCAATCAATCATGGCGGTCTTTTCTGCTTTTTCTGTTTCTGTTTTGGCTTTTTTCTGGTAAATGGTATACCCTTTTTGGGAAGCTATTTGGACCTGAATGAAATTATGTTTCAACACAAGGAAAGAGGTTTGTTAGCAGTCTGTGAACTGAAACCTCAAGGAGAGTCACGGACAAACTTCACTCGTTCATTTTCGATTTACAAAATTTCCATCATCAAAAACACCTACTCGTAATGCAGTTTTTCGCCTAACTAATACTACAATGCAATAAATTACAATTTATTCATCCTCATCGTCCACAGGGACGGACCTTGGGAGCGTGGGAGGTGCATGTGTGCGATTGCACTTCCTATTCAAATCTACGTATAATTTAATAGATTTATTGTTATCTCTTGAAATATCAAGTTTGGCACCGCGTACAGTGTTATATTTGAGCCTGGACAGGAGGGTACCTGCCCAGTGCCAGAATTTTTATAATGTATAATAAGGCTCAATTGTTTGAAATACTTATTATTATGGTTTCAATTTTTCCCTAATATTTATTATTATAGGCTTATTTTTAATATTTATTATTGGAGACTTATTTTTATAATTTATTTTTTCTAATATTTGTATAAGTGTCCAATTTTTTGTCAATATTTTTTTTCTAAAATTTATTATTAGGGGTCTAATTTTTTCAATATTTTTTTATTAGGGGCATACTTTTAAAATTCAATTTTTTTCTAATATTTATTTGTTTTTATGAATCTAATTTTTTTAGTATTTTTATTATTGGATTTTCAATTTTTTAATATTTTTTATTATGAACATACTATTAAAATTTATCTTTTTTTAATATTTGTTATTAGGGACTATTTTTTCAATACTTATTATTATGAAGATACCTTTAAAATTTTATTTTTTTCAACACTTATTATTATGACAGTTACTTAAATAATGGTATGTAACCACAACAATGACTGTTATGAAGTGGTAACGACATTGTCTAAAACTATAATATCAACAATCGTTACGTCCACAATAGTATATGTTATTAAAAATTCACATCCACGATACTTGCAGTGACCACAATTCATCTGTTATGTTCACAATAACGATAAAAAAAACGTGAACAAAGACACAAATACAAATTGTAACTTAAACCTCTAATTAGAGGCCTAGTTTTTTAGTTCGCCCAGGGCCACCAAAATCTCAAAAACGAACCTGAGCATTTATTTCAAGAGTACGAGCGTTCAAAGTATCGTGTGTATGTATCATAATCCAGAAATTATCGTACTACTCCATACTTACTTGCACCTTGGGTGTTGCCTACACCCGATAAAATAACCTGCACCAAACCTACTTTGAATATTAGCGTGCCCTCCATGCAACTGAAAAATAGGTAGGAAAAGGATGCCATAAGCTTTAATTGAAGAAGGAACTGATTAAATAACATATGAACTCATTTAACAACCTCATTGGTAAAAAATGTTTTTCCCTAGAGATCCCGAATTTGAATAACCACGTCTATAAGATGTAATACGATCCTTTGAGCTTTCGGTGAAATAATGTCGTTCACGTATATTCAACATATCAATCATTACACGAATCAAGTGACTTATGTAGTAAAGGAATTATTGTTATTCCTTGAGGACGCAGGTTCGAGCACCATAGATGCTAGGGGTGTGAGCGTTCAATGTCAAAAGGTTGAAAATTTATCTTTGAACAGATATTACCTTATATTTACACATATTAATTAAAAAACATATCAATCATCAATTTATTATCTTGCGAGTCATCAATACATAGTTCTAAATTTACGTAGAGGTAAGGTGAATATATTTAAACATTATAAGTGAATTTAATATTAATGCATCTTGCGGTTCAGTCCAATATATTATCAGACTCAAATAATATACCTGCCTCTACTTGAGAGTCAATTTACTCTATAGACAAGACAAATTGTCTCATTTTCGAAGTTTAAAATACATAATATTCCTAACATAAATTATTTACGCAAGATAATTCTATAATACAAACTTATTTAAATTACTAACTATTATGAATTGCATCTAATATTACAAATAATCTTATAATAGAATTTTTAAGTAGTTAAATTATTAGGCAATTATGTTTTTGGATAACAAAAAATTTAGGTCTGAGGTGGCTCCTATAGTCCAGGGTCAGGACATACCTAAGATTCTATTGTGGTTTACATAGAAATTTACATATTGTCCACAAAAAATGACAGTGGTAAGATTCGACTTTGGCCTTATAATCTCAAATTTCTGAATCACAACTACTTGCACACCCTATGTAATTATTAGGCAATTATGTAAGACAATTTTTACTTTTTACTTATTGCTTTGCGTACAATTCTAAGTTTGAGGACATTACAAGTACAAGAAATAAACAAATATTGTTAAAAAAATCAATTTAAATAAATTAGGATAATTATATGAAATTAAAGTACAAAAGATGAAGAAAATCCAACAGTAATTATATAAATTTATGATCATTTTTTTAAATATTTTCATTACGTAAAACAATAATTCAAAATAGTTTGTGTTATCCAAAAAAAAAAATCCAAACCCAACTCGTTTTCGTATCAAACGAGAGTAATATGAGGTGAGGGTTTAATCAATAAGAATGATTGCACTAAGTGGAAAATGACTTGTTATTGGAAAGCAACTTCTTTGAATGTGTACCTTGAATCATTATTTAAGATGATTTTATTGTTAAATTTTAAAAGTCAGTAATTTTTTTATCTAAATATATGAGTTTATTATTTTATTTAAATTTAAACTAATAATGTTTAAAATAGATTTAATATTTCGTTTTATTTAAAAATGTATGTTCAAACATTCAAAGCAAACATTCTCCTCGAATGTCGAATGTCCACGATTTTCTCGGGACAAACCACATCGAACAAAACACTTCTAGATCAAAGCAAATCTTGGGCTACTTACTTTCAGAAGAATCACCAGCAACTTGGTTCTTGTTTGCCGCCTTCTACTATACAAGAGGTAGTCCGATGGAATCCTGCTCCTACAAGATGGGTCACTCTCAACACAGATGGATCCGTTTCTGCTCCTTTTATAGTTTCAGCTAGAGGTCTTATTCGAGCCTGTCAAGGCAACTGGCTGGTTGGGTTTAATAAATATGTTGGAGTTTCCCATCCTCTCCATGCCGACCTTTGGAGTATATTGGAAGGCTTACGTATTGCGTGGACTACCGGTTTCGAGTGGTTACAATGTCAAACTGACTGAGGAAGCAATCAAACTTGTTACGTCGCCTACTGCCCATTGAGCCCTCTCGCTCTTGTCCGAGCTATATCCCAATTTACTTCCAAGGCATGTTTCGTTGAATTTAACTTGATTCGTCGCGAAGCAAACTTCCCTGCTGATTTTTTTGACAAAGATGCCTCCATCGATAGGGTTACCTCTATCCTTTCGACCCCCTATGGAGTTGTCAATTTGCTTGACAGGGACCTTAATGGCCCTCCCTATTTTAGAAATTAATATTCGTATTTGTTTTTAAGCCCTCTTTCATTAAAAAAAATATATGTTCAAAAATTTAAAGATTAATTTAAAATAAAAATTATAATCTAAAAATAATATTAAAATATTTAAAACTTTAGACATTAATTAAAAAGGAAAATCATAATTTAAGAATGTGTGAAGTAATTAATTCTAAAACATTTAGATATTAAAAACAAGACAAGAAATGCTTGCCTGACACCCTGACTTCATTTTGTAGTAATATCAGTCCCCCCCCCCATGTGATGAGAGCAAGAAAAAGGCACAACCCTTCAATATCATGCGGACCTATTATTATTCATAGATGCGTGTGTGCATTATAGTAAAAAGATGAGCTTTTTTTTACCAGCTTTCCTATGGATATACCCAACATTCTTCACTTCAATGGCAGCAAGAAACCTGAAAACAAAATATATTATTCATAACTACTACTGATAAAAGCTGACATATTAAATATAAATTTATATCAAATCACCAAACCCCATCATCTTCTTAAGTTGCAAAACTAAAACTAATGGCAAGACATTTTTACAAACTTCCAAGCAACTGCTGTTTCAAGTTAAATGTTACACATTTCAGGCATCAATGTCTGTTGGAATACATAAGGTGAAAGAAGATGCATAGATATGATGACACAGTGAGTCTTTGGTTTTCTGATTTTGTCTGTTGGGATACATAAACCTACAAATGAAAGGAGAAAAGCGAAAAGCCCTAAGCTCGCTCGAAACTCGGTTCCAATATGCATTTGCTGTTAGTGGTGTTGTATTGAAGAAGAAGATGACGATGATGTTGTTGAGATATTCTCTAAGATCTACTCTTCAGTATATGAATTCTGACTATACACATCTAGGGGATTTCTTCTAGTATATGCTTCTCTACTTTTCTGCACTTGTAAATTATCATATCCAAACATTAGAAGGATGTCATTTGATTCAAATGAGTTCATAAATTATCGATAACTCGTTTCCGAGTTCCAAGCATGCTTACCTTTATTTCCTAAGGTTCATTAGCTTTTCATGCCCATCATAAAACCTGAGAACAAATACCTTTTAATCTGGTAATTGTGACAGCAGATATCAAGTTACATCAATGTTAAGACAATGATAATACCTTGGCATTACGCAGACGATAACTTAAACAGAGGTTGTGCCGCTGGTGGAAGTGATGTGCCGTAATGGATCATCAGAAGATGAAGCAGCACATG